CACGCAGCAGACCATTTTACGGCCGTTCCAACATCCACCCACCATCACTCCATCCCTCCTGCCAATCCCTGGTTTATGCTCTAGGACTACCAATGGGAAGTGGTACAGCCCTATTGTCACTGCAAGAAGCCAGAAGCAGCGGAGGTTGGGCGGCGGGAGGACCAATGTCACTCCATGCGCAGCGAAATTTCTCGTCAGACCCGCATTCGGCACGCTCAGCAACGTCATGTTACTCGTCAGAACCGACTGGAAATACACTTTGTTCGGGTTAAAAGTCTTGGTTACCGGCATGTTCTGGTTAATAGTCGGAAAGAGGGTGCCCGGAGCAGCACTTAGGAGCTGCCGCGCTGTGTAACGCCCCTTGAGAATGAGCCCACGGAAAACCCGGCGCTTTTGCCTTTGCTCAAGAGTGTCCCACCAGGCTTCGTAGCGCCAATAGCCGACATTTGTGGGGATGAGGATGGTTGCATTCCGATCGATGAACACCTGTTGAGTTTTGACTGGCAGAGAGAAGATTGGGGAGAGAGGGAGAGGTGATAGTAAAGATAGGAATGGAAGGCAAAAGAGCTATTAGACACTGAGTGAGGTAGCACCAGGGATGGGGAGCCATGCGTTCAGCAGAGAAACAGCTGTTCAGAGAGAGAATTTTGGGGGGAGGGGGGAGATAGGGGAAGGGGAGTGGCGAGGGGGGAGAGGTCGGAGAGGATAGAAGAAGGGACATTGGCTCAAAGAGAGAGCTAATTGATGAGACATGGGTACAGGGAGGTTCGGAACGGTTGGGAACTCACAGTGTTTGGAGAAGATCTGGGCGAAGGAGGAGAGAGACGTCTTATTGGCCACTTGCTGGATTATCGACTCCATCTGCTCCTCCCAATCAGGATCCGGTGGGGGGTAATTTTTTAGTCGTGATCCATCCGACGTCATGGCAGTCGGCACGACCATTTGCGCCGCCCGGTCTAGGTCCGCGGGCTCGGCCCGTTGCGCCTTCGCGAAGTTCGCCCCGGTGCCGCTCAGCAGACAGTCGGCGAGCAGCGCGGCGACACCGCTGCTTGCGAAAGCCGCCCACGGGGTGACCGTTATTCCGCGTGTGGATGGCCATTTCGTCCCGAGGAAGAGGAAGAGAACTCGAAAACTCGAGCAATCAGTCCTCTCAAAAGGTGAGTAGTTACGGGCCTTCTACTCTTCCCTTGAAGAGAAAGGCCTTTCCCGTTGGACTTCGGAGCTGAGAACGTCAGCAGCGTTTCTTGCAAGGGCGCGGATGCTGTGGGTGACCTAGTAGTACCTTACGCTTGCTACGTATATACACAGCCCACCCTGCCCCTCCGGCTTGTTGGACCTGGAGGCAACGCAGCGCACATGATGAGCTAATCACCGCCACGTTGCTGGAACTACTGTAGTCTGATTGGCTGGATCGCATCGCGAGGGCGCGCAAGGCAGCCTTGGTCTGTCGAATCGGCTCGATATTCGAGGGAGTCGAGAGCATTTAAGGGAAGGTGTTGGCGAGAACGGGGGGGAAAGTGGTGAGTTTCCGTGCAGACAGGCCCGGCGCAACTGGTGGCGGCTTTAAGCCCGGCGCAAGGAGCGGTGATTTTCCGCCTGTTTCCACCTGTTTCCCCCTCATCGGACGCCCAGAGAGGCCCGGCGCAAGGAGCGGTGAGTTTCCGCCTGTTTCTGGCGCCTATTTCCCCCTCATCGGACGCGCAGAGAGGCCGGCGCAACCGGTGACGGCTTTAGTTTCAACGGTCGACGGTTAAGAGCTGGAATGTTGCGACGGTTGTTGATTGACTCAAGCAGGCCAGCAACTGACTGATTTTGTCGCTTTGCCGGATACTCTCCTTTCTATTACGCTATTCGACAACTGTACGGACACCGCCGAGATCCCGCAGCGTCGGCGCGCTGCAGCGGAGAAGTTGCTGCTGCCTCGCGCCCGGCATTTCGAGTCCTAGGTGTTTAAAATATCCTCTCATAAAGGCGAGATGGATACTCGCGCGATACCCGCGATCTGCGAGATGATAGGGTGGTTGTTCGCTTTATTTAGAAGGAAGGGACAAGAGGCGAAGGTTTGAGGAAATGTCAGACGCACAGCAGTAGGGAGGGGGCGATGGGTTGGGTGGGGGCGAATGTGGGGCGAATTGCGGAATGGGCGAGGGGAGCGCGAACTGAAAGCAGGATCAACGAAGGTTTCGCGGGGTGACAAGCAGGCCGAATCGAGACCTAAGATTGGAGGCGAGATCAAGATAGGAATTTGGTAACAGATGGTGCCGTTTCGTCTCCCGTCCGTACACTGGTTTGGTGCGTATCGCCGTTTCGAGCGCAGGTTTACATGGTAGCAATTATCGTCGCACTCAGTCGCCGATTAAACCGTGCGCGATGTGGCGAAGCGGATACCATACACGCACTGTTACAAAACTCCTACAGAACAAGAAGTTCTCCAAATTAGCTACACGCTCATCCAAGATCATGCTTCAACGTAAACTGATCAACGCCTAGACATTCTTTGAACATTGGCCCTCTAGTAATGTAGTCCCTCATTTTATTCACATACCGTACCGTACCATTTTAAGGTCGTTACAACATTCATCGCGCATCACTCCACCCCCGATTTATGAGCTCTAAACTCAAAAACCAAAGGCTTCTAATTCAATTTAATGAATTCGTCACTGCAAGAAGACCGGGTGCAGTTGAGGTTGGGCGGCAGGAGGACCATTGTCACCCCATGCGCAGCAAAATTATTTGTCAGCCCGGCATTCGGCACGCTCAGCAACGTCACGACCCTCGTCAAATACGACTGGAAAGGCACTATGTTCGCCTTAAATGACTTGTTTACCGGCAGGTTCATGTTAAGAGTAGGAAAGAGTGTGAGCGGAGCAGCATTCAGGAGCTGCCCCGCAGTGTAACGTCCCTTGAGAATGTGGTAACGGAGTAACCGGCGCTTATATCTGCGGGTGAGAGTGTCCCACCGGTTTTCGAAGCGCCAGTAGCCGACGTTGGTGGGGATGAGGATGGTTGCATTTCGATCGATGTACAGCTGCTCTGTTTTGACTGGCAGAGAGAAGATTGGGGAGAGGGGGGAGGAAATAAGAAGGATAGGAGCGGAAGGCATCAGAGAAATCAGACACTGAGTGAGGTAGCTCCAGTGGCCCTCGTGTGTGGGGACGGGAGAGTTGCGTTTGATTGATGAACAGACGTTCAGATCGAAAGGGAAAAATTGGGAGGCCGGGGGAGGGAGGAGGGGGAGTGAGGAGGGGGAGTGGGGAGGGGAAGTGGGGAGGGGAGAGTATAGAAGAGGGGAGAGGTTAATGGGGAAGGAGGTGATAAAGGATTGTGCAAGAGAGGGAGCACGGGGGAAGAACATCATTAAAGCGACGGGTCACTTTTGGCAAAGGAACAGTGCTGACGTCAGCACTGCGCGAAATTGGCTCAGTGGTGCGATACAAAAGGAGTTGAACAGGCCGTGACAAAAAAAAACGAAATGAGTGCGAAATTCGTAGTGGGGAAGGAAGGCACACTTACCAAGGGACAAACGCGCGCAAGGGGAAGGGATTGGGGGGAGGAAATTGACATCCGCAGCGCACCAACAACAAACCACAGCCACAATTTTCACTCGACAGCAATAACCACACCACACACCACACGCCAATAGAGGCCTTTATGAGTACAATAGTCATTACTATTGGCTGAAGAGGGAACGCTGTCCCTTTTAATCATTACTCCGTTTCCCCCTCAATGCACTCCGATTTCCCCTCATAGCATTCCGTTTCCCCACCATAGCACTCCGTTTCCCCTCATATCAATCCGTTTCCCCCTTATAGCATCCCGTTTCCCCCTTTCGCATCCCGTTTCCCCCTTATAGCATCCCGTATCCCCTTGTAGCATCCCGTTTCCCCCTTATAGCATCCCGGTTCCCCGTTTCCCCATTATGGGATCCCGTTTCCCCCTTATACCATCCCGTTTCCCCCCTATAGCATCTCGTTTCCTTCTTATAGGATCCCGTTTCCCCCTTATAGCATCCCGTTTCCCCTTATAGCATCCTGTTTCCCCCTTGTAGCATCCCGTTTCCACCCTATAGCATCCCGTTTCCCCATTTCCCCCTTATAGCATCCCGTTTCCCCTCATAGCATCCCGTTTCCCCCTTATAGCATCCCGTTTCCCCCTTATAGCATCCCGTTTCTCCCTCATATCACTCCGTTTCCCCCTTATAGCATCCCGTTTCCCTTATAGCATCCCTTATAGCATCCCGTTTCTCCCCCTTGTTGCAATGCGGTGCAACAAGCATCAGTGGGGTGCATAGCGGTGCAACAATGCATGCTATGGCATGTCGATCACCCTACTACTTTCCTCTCTAAATCATGCTCTTGGGCCCTTCTTACCCATCCATGAACCTTCAATCCCATGAAACGCTTATCATACCTCCCTCCACCCCTCCGTTCATTTTGCAGGGTCCCAAGGCTGTCATTGTAGAGCACCTCATTGGCATCGCCGAAGTGCCGGCACCATGCTTATAAGGTCGTTTACAGCAACAATGATCGCAGACAAGATTGGACTTGCTGTTTTCATTTTATGTGCTATTCAGGAAGCCCTAATTGGCAACTAACTTGCACATGGCACTACACATTATAGATGTTCGTATTGTGGTGCTACCCTCACTACCAAACACCCCACTAGCACCATTGAGATCAAAGTCAATGCGAGTGGGCAAACGGCGGATTGCGTTGAACCACGCCACATCATCCGCACCACATCCAACATACAACCCGCCCCTAGGCTCGGGGTATATTGTTGCAATAACCACATAAATCAACCACGGCAGCTCAACTTCCTCACCATCTCCCAACAAGTCCGAATAACCGACATAACAGCGGAAGCGATGGTTTTTAGGATACAACTCCTCCTCGTTCGCACCAACACTCAGGTTTGCACCGCAACAGACACGAATGATGTTCTCGACGGTGCGTTCCGTGGCGAAGCGACCCACTGTGGACTCCCGTGGGTACCCCAACCACGCCGAGCCCCACTTGCCCAACACCTCATACTGTTTTGGAAATCGTCTTGCAAATTCAGCGATCGTCCAGCAGTAGAATGGCATCCTGATCACCGGTGGTAGGCCAGATCGAACTCGGGCCCGCCTAGTGATACTAGGTGTAGCGACGTTGGAGATACTGCTAGTCTGAGACTCCACTTGTGAAGTCACTAGACGCGGATCGGCACGGCTCTGCGGCACCGTTTCTTCCTCGTCATCCTCACATACAAGCCTAATGGGGTCCGGCCGACGACGCATGAGCGCACGAGAGCGTGGCCTGCCACGCAACGGGAAGCAAGGGACATGTTTTGGCTGCAATATTACTCACAAGCTTCCCCCATCCAGCTAGTTGCATAGATAATCCCTAGAAGTGCATGCAAAGCGTGATTTCAAACATGATATATACCTTATTGGTCCGCCAGATCGGGTCTTCCTCGACGCGGTGCTTCGATTTTCGTGACCGTTTGTCATTTTCCTCCTGGTGTTTCATTTCGGGAGAGAACGGAGGCGGTGAAAGGGATAATTGGATGAGCTCGAAAAGAAGGAAGGGTGAATGGGTATGGATGGCCAAAAGGACAGCAATGGGAAGGAGAGGCAGGCCCATCTGCAGGAGTGAGGAGATGGAGGGCAGGTAAGTGTGAAGGGGCATGGATGGCCAAATTGACGCAGGTGGAAGGGAGGGAGGGCAGTCCCCCCGACAGGATAGTGAAATCTGGCTTGGGAGGGATACGCACAAGAGGGAAATACGGCATCAGGCTAGAGAGTGGGGGAATACGTGTGAGATGGGGATAGGGAGATAGGGAGTAACTGCAAGCGCTCATACCAGGAAGGCAATAGCACAGCAACCAACTAAAAGGTTGACTGCACAGGCAATAGGGGTGGTAGGCACGAGGAGCAGTGTGCATGCGTCCGCAGCACTAGCGAGAGGGGTGGGTGGTATTAGTGGGCAAGGGGACTAGGAGATATCCATGAATGTTGCAGCTTGCGAGTGGCGGAGGTGAAATGCGTGGAGAGCTGCGAAATATAGGGTGAGATAAACCTTTATAGGAGAGGGAAAGGACGCCCTTGAACCAGCAGAGGGGGAATTTGGTGTAGCGGGGATGAAGTGAACACGCATGGATGTACAGGGTTAAAACGACTGAAAGAGGGGACTATGGGTAGATTAGAACATAAGAGATTGCGGTGTGACTGGCGTAAGGCAGAGAGGGGTAAGGGTGGAGAGGGGAGTAAGGCAGAGAGGGGTAAGGGTAGAGAGGGGAGTAAGGCAGAGAGGGGTAAGGGTGGAGAGGGAGTAAGGCAGAGAGGGGTAAGGGTGGAGAGGGGAGTAAGGCAGAGAGGGTAAGGGTAGAGAGGGGAGTAAGGCAGAGAGGGGTAAGGGTGGAGAGGGGAGTAAGGCAGAGAGGGGTAAGGGTAGAGAGGGGAGTAAGGCAGAGAGGGGTAAGGGTGGAGAGGGGAGTATGGCAGAGAGGGGTAAGGGTAGAGAGGGGAGTAAGGCAGAGAGGGGTAAGGGTGGAGAGGGGAGTAAGGCAGAGAGGGGTAAGGGTGGAGAGGGGAGTAAGGCAGAGAGGGGTAAGGGTAGAGAGGGGAGTAAGGCAGAGAGGGGTAAGGGTGGAGAGGGGAGTAAGGCAGAGAGGGGTAGAGGGGATAAGGCAGAGAGGGGTAAGGGTAAGAGGGGAGTATGGCAGAGAGGGGTAAGGGTGGAGAGGGGAGTATGGCAGAGAGGGGTAAGGGTGGAGAGGGGAGTAAGGCAGAGAGGGTAAGGGTAGAGGAGGGAGTATGGCAGAGAGGGGTAAGGTGAGATAGCAGGAGATATGATAAGGAAGTTGCACTGAGCGGGGGTCATAGTTGCGCGCGAAATGGGGAGAAAGAGAACACCGGAGTATCCCCCCTCCCCCCCCCCCCCTCACCGATAGTGCTGCCATGCGCCGTCCCGCTGCTTATCCCCCTCCCTTCTCCACCTCCCCCCAGCCACCCGCCATCTCCCTGCCGAGCCAGTGGGCGACTCACTCTTATCTAGCGTGGTTGCGAGAGGGTTGTTTGCCTGTGGAAAGGGAGGAGGGTTGTGAAAGTGAGGGAACGTATGCGTGAGGGGCAGGGTGGGGACGAGAGGATAGTTTGGAGGGCGGTAAAGGGAGGTGGCAATGTGTGCAGGGAAGTGGCAATGTGTGAAGGGAGGCGGAAAGGAGTGAAGGGAGGCGGAAAGGAGTGAAGGGAGGCGGAAAGGAGTGAAGGGAGGCGGAAAGGAGTGAAGGGAGGCGGAAAGGAGTGAAGGGAGGCGGAAAGGAGTGAAGGGAGGCGGAAAGGAGTGAAGGGAGGCGGAAAGGAGTGAAGGGAGGCGGAAAGGAGTGAAGGGAGGCGGAAAGGAGTGAAGGGAGGCGGAAAGGAGTGAAGGGAGGCGGAAAGGAGTGAAGGGAGGCGGAAAGGAGTGAAGGGAGGCGGAAAGGAGTGAAGGGAGGCGGAAAGGAGTGAAGGGAGGCGGAAAGGAGTGAAGGGAGGCGGAAAGGAGTGAAGGGAGGCGGAAAGGAGTGAAGGGAGGCGGAAAGGAGTGAAGGGAGGCGGAAAGGAGTGAAGGGAGGCGGAAAGGAGTGAAGGGAGGCGGAAAGGAGTGAAGGGAGGCGGAAAGGAGTGAAGGGAGGCGGAAAGGAGTGAAGGGAGGCGGAAAGGAGTGAAGGGAGGCGGAAAGGAGTGAAGGGAGGCGGAAAGGAGTGAAGGGAGGCGGAAAGGAGTGAAGGGAGGCGGAAAGGAGTGAAGGGAGGCGGAAAGGAGTGAAGGGAGGCGGAAAGGAGTGAAGGGAGGCGGAAAGGAGTGAAGGGAGGCGGAAAGGAGTGAAGGGAGGCGGAAAGGAGTGAAGGGAGGCGGAAAGGAGTGAAGGGAGGCGGAAAGGAGTGAAGGGAGGCGGAAAGGAGTGAAGGGAGGCGGAAAGGAGTGAAGGGAGGCGGAAAGGAGTGAAGGGAGGCGGAAAGGAGTGAAGGGAGGCGGAAAGGAGTGAAGGGAGGCGGAAAGGAGTGAAGGGAGGCGGAAAGGAGTGAAGGGAGGCGGAAAGGAGTGAAGGGAGGCGGAAAGGAGTGAAGGGAGGCGGAAAGGAGTGAAGGGAGGCGGAAAGGAGTGAAGGGAGGCGGAAAGGAGTGAAGGGAGGCGGAAAGGAGTGAAGGGAGGCGGAAAGGAGTGAAGGGAGGCGGAAAGGAGTGAAGGGAGGCGGAAAGGAGTGAAGGGAGGCGGAAAGGAGTGAAGGGAGGCGGAAAGGAGTGAAGGGAGGCGGAAAGGAGTGAAGGGAGGCGGAAAGGAGTGAAGGGAGGCGGAAAGGAGTGAAGGGAGGCGGAAAGGAGTGAAGGGAGGCGGAAAGGAGTGAAGGGAGGCGGAAAGGAGTGAAGGGAGGCGGAAAGGAGTGAAGGGAGGCGGAAAGGAGTGAAGGGAGGCGGAAAGGAGTGAAGGGAGGCGGAAAGGAGTGAAGGGAGGCGGAAAGGAGTGAAGGAGGCGAAAGGAGTGAAGGGAGGCGGAAAGGAGTGAAGGGAGGCGGAAAGGAGTGAAGGGAGGCGGAAAGGAGTGAAGGGAGGCGGAAAGGAGTGAAGGGAGGCGGAAAGGAGTGAAGGGAGGCGGAAAGGAGTGAAGGGAGGCGGAAAGGAGTGAAGGGAGGCGGAAAGGAGTGAAGGGAGGCGGAAAGGAGTGAAGGGAGGCGGAAAGGAGTGAAGGGAGGCGGAAAGGAGTGAAGGGAGGCGGAAAGGAGTGAAGGGAGGCGGAAAGGAGTGAAGGGAGGCGGAAAGGAGTGAAGGGAGGCGGAAAGGAGTGAAGGGAGGCGGAAAGGAGTGAAGGGAGGCGGAAAGGAGTGAAGGGAGGCGGAAAGGAGTGAAGGGAGGCGGAAAGGAGTGAAGGGAGGCGGAAAGGAGTGAAGGGAGGCGGAAAGGAGTGAAGGGAGGCGGAAAGGAGTGAAGGGAGGCGGAAAGGAGTGAAGGGAGGCGGAAAGGAGTGAAGGGAGGCGGAAAGGAGTGAAGGGAGGCGGAAAGGAGTGAAGGGAGGCGGAAAGGAGTGAAGGGAGGCGGAAAGGAGTGAAGGGAGGCGGAAAGGAGTGAGGAGGGCGGAAAGGAGTGAAGGGAGGCGGAAAGGAGTGAAGGGAGGCGGAAAGGAGTGAAGGGAGGCGGAAAGGAGTGAAGGGAGGCGGAAAGGAGTGAAGGGAGGCGGAAAGGAGTGAAGGGAGGCGGAAAGGAGTGAAGGGAGGCGGAAAGGAGTGAAGGGAGGCGGAAAGGAGTGAAGGGAGGCGGAAAGGAGTGAAGGGAGGCGGAAAGGAGTGAAGGGAGGCGGAAAGGAGTGAAGGGAGGCGGAAAGGAGTGAAGGGAGGCGGAAAGGAGTGAAGGGAGGCGGAAAGGAGTGAAGGGAGGCGGAAAGGAGTGAAGGGAGGCGGAAAGGAGTGAAGGGAGGCGGAAAGGAGTGAAGGGAGGCGGAAAGGAGTGAAGGGAGGCGGAAAGGAGTGAAGGGAGGCGGAAAGGAGTGAAGGGAGGCGGAAAGGAGTGAAGGGAGGCGGAAAGGAGTGAAGGGAGGCGGAAAGGAGTGAAGGGAGGCGGAAAGGAGTGAAGGGAGGCGGAAAGGAGTGAAGGGAGGCGGAAAGGAGTGAAGGGAGGCGGAAAGGAGTGAAGGGAGGCGGAAAGGAGTGAAGGGAGGCGGAAAGGAGTGAAGGGAGGCGGAAAGGAGTGAAGGGAGGCGGAAAGGAGTGAAGGGAGGCGGAAAGGAGTGAAGGGAGGCGGAAAGGAGTGAAGGGAGGCGGAAAGGAGTGAAGGGAGGCGGAAAGGAGTGAAGGGAGGCGGAAAGGAGTGAAGGGAGGCGGAAAGGAGTGAAGGGAGGCGGAAAGGAGTGAAGGGAGGCGGAAAGGAGTGAAGGGAGGCGGAAAGGAGTGAAGGGAGGCGGAAAGGAGTGAAGGGAGGCGGAAAGGAGTGAAGGGAGGCGGAAAGGAGTGAAGGGAGGCGGAAAGGAGTGAAGGGAGGCGGAAAGGAGTGAAGGGAGGCGGAAAGGAGTGAAGGGAGGCGGAAAGGAGTGAAGGGAGGCGGAAAGGAGTGAAGGGAGGCGGAAAGGAGTGAAGGGAGGCGGAAAGGAGTGAAGGGAGGCGGAAAGGAGTGAAGGGAGGCGGAAAGGAGTGAAGGGAGGCGGAAAGGAGTGAAGGGAGGCGGAAAGGAGTGAAGGGAGGCGGAAAGGAGTGAAGGGAGGCGGAAAGGAGTGAAGGGAGGCGGAAAGGAGTGAAGGGAGGCGGAAAAAAGGAGGTGAAGGAGGCGGAAGGAGTGAAGAGGACGGAAGGAGTGAAGGGAGGCGGAAAGGAGTGAAGGGAGGCGGAAAGCGTGAAGGGAGGCGAAGGGAGTGAAGGGAGGCGAAAGGAGTGAAGGGAGGCGGAAAGGAGTGAAGGGAGGCGGAAAGGAGTGAAGGGAGGCGGAAAGGAGTGAAGGGAGGCGGAAAGGAGTGAAGGGAGGCGGAAAGGAGTGAAGGGAGGCGGAAAGGAGTGAAGGGAGGCGGAAAGGAGTGAAGGGAGGCGGAAAGGAGTGAAGGGAGGCGGAAAGGAGTGAAGGGAGGCGGAAAGGAGTGAAGGGAGGCGGAAAGGAGTGAAGGGAGGCGGAAAGGAGTGAAGGGAGGCGGAAAGGAGTGAAGGGAGGGGAAAAAGGAGTGAAGGGAGGCGGAAAGGAGTGAAGGGAGGGGCGGAGAGTGAAGGGAGGCGGAAAGGAGTGAAGGGAGGCGGAAAGGAGTGAAGGGAGGCGGAAAGGAGTGAAGGGAGGCGGAAAGGAGTGAAGGGAGGCGGAAAGGAGTGAAGGGAGGCGGAAAGGAGTGAAGGGAGGCGGAAAGGAGTGAAGGGAGGCGGAAAGGAGTGAAGGGAGGCGGAAAGGAGTGAAGGGAGGCGGAAAGGAGTGAAGGGAGGCGGAAAGGAGTGAAGGGAGGCGGAAAGGAGTGAAGGGAGGCGGAAAGGAGTGAAGGGAGGCGGAAAGGAGTGAAGGGAGGCGGAAAGGAGTGAAGGGAGGCGGAAAGGAGTGAAGGGAGGCGGAAAGGAGTGAAGGGAGGCGGAAAGGAGTGAAGGGAGGCGGAAAGGAGTGAAGGGAGGCGGAAAGGAGTGAAGGGAGGCGGAAAGGAGTGAAGGGAGGCGGAAAGGAGTGAAGGGAGGCGGAAGGATGAAGGGAGGCGGAAAGGAGTGATGGGAGGCGGAAAGGAGTGAAGGGAGGCGGAAAGGAGTGAAGGGAGGCGGAAAGGAGTGAAGGGAGGCGGAAAGGAGTGAAGGGAGGCGGAAAGGAGTGAAGGGAGGCGGAAAGGAGTGAAGGGAGGCGGAAAGGAGTGAAGGGAGGCGGAAAGGAGTGAAGGGAGGCGGAAAGGAGTGAAGGGAGGCGGAAAGGAGTGAAGGGAGGCGGAAAGGAGTGAAGGGAGGCGGAAAGGAGTGAAGGGAGGCGGAAAGGAGTGAAGGGAGGCGGAAAGGAGTGAAGGGAGGCGGAAAGGAGTGAAGGGAGGCGGAAAGGAGTGAAGGGAGGCGGAAAGGAGTGAAGGGAGGCGGAAAGGAGTGAAGGGAGGCGGAAAGGAGTGAAGGGAGGCGGAAAGGAGTGAAGGGAGGCGGAAAGGAGTGAAGGGAGGCGGAAAGGAGTGAAGGGAGGCGGAAAGGAGTGAAGGGAGGCGGAAAGGAGTGAAGGGAGGCGGAAAGGAGTGAAGGGAGGCGGAAAGGAGTGAAGGGAGGCGGAAAGGAGTGAAGGGAGGCGGAAAGGAGTGAAGGGAGGCGGAAAGGAGTGAAGGGAGGCGGAAAGGAGTGAAGGGAGGCGGAAAGGAGTGAAGGGAGGCGGAAAGGAGTGAAGGGAGGCGGAAAGGAGTGAAGGGAGGCGGAAAGGAGTGAAGGGAGGCGGAAAGGAGTGAAGGGAGGCGGAAAGGAGTGAAGGGAGGCGGAAAGGAGTGAAGGGAGGCGGAAAGGAGTGAAGGGAGGCGGAAAGGAGTGAAGGGAGGCGGAAAGGAGTGAAGGGAGGCGGAAAGGAGTGAAGGGAGGCGGAAAGGAGTGAAGGGAGGCGGAAAGGAGTGAAGGGAGGCGGAAAGGAGTGA